TGTGGCCACACACAAAAAAGAGTGCCACCTGTGACACTGGGAAGCTCCAAGAGAATGGCTAGGGGACAACAGCAGGGAGGCAGGAACTCACCAATATAAGACAGCTTCCAAAGGGGGGGGTGACTTCCGCATACACAGCTTCTGGGGTGCTCACTTTCTCTTGTTAAGGTAGTCCTTTGTTTGGGGCATGAGCCTTTTCCTCATTTCAATTACTTTTCTCAGACTTTTACTAAATTCTTGTGAGTGCAGGGATTACAGGCATGCACCACTGCACTTGGGATCATCAATCCTTAATCTGTGTCAAATCTTCAAATATTACCCTCTGTAGTTAGTGTTTTCTACAACTATTTTTAAAATATTTTTCCAATTTTTTAGGTACTAAGTTTTCTTGGGGTCCTGCCCTTCACATTTAGGCCTCTAGCCCGCTGAAGCTGCCTTCCATGCAGAGGGAAACAGGACTGACTTTCCCCTTTTCCACCTGGGCTGTCGCAGCAGCACTCAGGGCATGCATCCTACGCTCAAGGCCGCCTCCATCACATACTGACTGTGGTCTGCCTCATCCTCATTCTATTTTTACTTCTCCATCTTGGCACCAAAACAGATTGACTTAATTAGTGTAGCTTCTCAGTAAGCCTTGGCCAACAGCTGGCTCTGCTCTTTTACCTCCTCTTTTTAAGTATCTGTTCATTCTCTCCCTCTTCAACTTTATACAAAAATCAGTATTATCATACATGATCAAACAACCTAGTTTTGACTGGGATAACATTCATTTATGACAGTATATAACATGACAACTTTATAATAAATTATACGATCATCCCATTAAAATATAACTTCATGACTGAAAAACCACTGTAAAAAAGTAAACAGCTTTTCTTAGTAGTCACAAATCCAGAAACAATCACAGTAAACACCGAAGTGGAGAAACGTTGAACGCTTTTTTTTTTTTTTGAACACTTCTTTTGAGACTGTGTAAAAGCAAATGAACCCCCATTCGTTACAGAGTATTTTACTCAATTTCTAGCTGAAGTAATACAACTTGGTGGTAGGACATGCGATTAGGAAGGGGTATGTAAACTGGTATTCCAGATTAAATACTTGTAGGTACAATAATTCTAAAGAATACACAGGTAAGTTACAAAGATTTGGCAGTGCTGTTGAATACAAAGTCAGCATCCTAAGCCTACCTATAAACTAGCGATACTTAGAAAACTTCTTTAAATATACTTTTAACACCAGAAATAGTTCATTATAAACCTAAGAAAAAAACATAAGAAAGAAATATTTTAGTTTAAAAAACTAAAAGGCCAGGTGTAGTGGCATGCTCCTGTAATCCCAACACTCAAGAGGCTGAGGCAGGAGGATCACTTAGGTTGAGAGCCTGTCTCAAAAAAAAAGTAAAATTTGTTAACATGGCAAGTTACAAGACTAGCTCCCTAAAAGTGTGCTAACTTGGCACCCCTAGAATAAACTGCACTTGCTCATGGTACATTTTAACTGGGACATTTTCTCATTTGTATCTATGAGTAAGACCAGACTGTATAGCCAGTCATGGTGGCACACACCTGTACCCTAGCGAGGGAAGGCTCAAGTCAGACCTGCACCTCAACCTTCCGAGTAGCTGGGATTATGTCTGCACACACCCTCCCTCTGATCCACTCAGCACCTCCTCCGCATCAGGGCCACCTGACAAACCAGCATGTGCCCCTGCAAGCTTGCCTCACTTGGCTCCCAGGAGCCCAGGCTCACTTGGTCTCCTGACCCTACCCCTGCTTCTTCCTGAATCTAAAGGGATCGGGCCTGCTCTTGGTCTCTGACCGTGGGCTGCTTATTGTACCCACTCTCATTTCTTACATGATCTCATCCAGTCTTTGGCTGTAAACACCAACAGGGACTCACAAACTTTTCCTCCACCCTAGAGCACGTGGCACCATTCCAGACCCAAGTACCAGTTTCACCTCTGCTGGGACAGCCTGCAGGAAGCCACACTAACAGATGCACTCGACTCCTCACACCTCCTGCCCCACCTAGGTTCCGCCTGCAGCTTTACCATCAGGTTAGCAGCACTCACTTCTTCCAGTTCCTATGGCCAAAGTTTCTGGGTCCTTCCTGGCTCTTTTTTTTTTTTTTTGCAGAACTGGGGATTGAACTCAAGCCCTTGCGCTTGCCAGGGAAGCGCTTATTCCACTGAGCCAGCTCCCCAGCCCTGCTCTTCTCTTTTGCACCCTGACCTTTCTTCTGTGAGACCCTGCCTCAGTTTCACCTCGAAAACATGCCATTTCTCACCACAGCCAAAGCACACCATCCATGCTTTCATCCTCAGCCATTACTCCCATAGCTCGGCCTCTGGGCTGTGCCCCGACACAGCGGACAGGGAGCCTGTGCAAACCTCAGACAGACCGTGCCCCTCCTGCCTGCTCCATTCCCAGTGACTTCCCATGTACCATGAAAGTTCAAGTCCTCTCTGGCTCCTACAGAGCACTACACAACGCAAGCCCACAGGGCCTCTCTGTGCTCATCTCCTGTCCCACCTCACTCTACTGCTTTCACTTCCTCCTGAACATTATTTTAATGCCTCAGGAAAACAGCCTCAAACTTGGCAGTTTAGAATGACAGTAACTAATAGATCATGGGGATGGGAAGGTCTGGGGGTTAGGGCAATAGGACAGAGGGAAGGGAAGTAAAAAAGGATCAAGATGTTGCCCATGGCGAGCATGTTCATTATGGATCACAAACTTACATTTTTTACGAAGGGAAGGAATGACAGTAACTTCCTGTTCATGACACCTGTTGGTTAAGACTTTAGGACTGTGGGTCTTTGCACCAGCTCCAGCCCCCAAAAGAGGACAGCTGTCCCCCAGGTCTCCTACAGTGGCAGGCAGGGCTGCGGCCCAGACCTCTCTGTAGGTGCTGGACCATCCTCAGACAGCAGTCAGCGAGCCCCAAGTTGTGGGGGGAGCAGGAGGAGGGACCACAGCTCCATGGCACACCTTGGCCTGACAGTCCTGACTCTGTGGTCTTTTTTTTTTTTTTTTTTTTGCAGAACCGGGGTTTGAACTCAGGCCCTTGCGCTTGCCAGGGAAGCACTTATTCCACTGAGCCAGCTCCTCGGCCCCTCTGTGGTCTTCTATAGTCACTCTGGGCGAGCAGGAACTCAAGAGAGGAACTGCACTGAGGTCTGACAGCCATGCACAGGAGCCACTAGAGGTCCCCTGGCTGCCACCTGCCCCATGTGAATGGCTGAGGCACAGCCCCTTCCGGCCTTACAGCCAGCACTTCCTTCTGTTTCAAGTGCTGTTTTACCCAAATACTCATATGAGCAGATTCACTTCCCTTGTATCTTTTACACAAATACTGCTAAGTCCCCGAGTCACAGACGAGTTCTGTGCAGGGACAATGCTCGCAAGTCAGCTGTGTCCATATCCAACAAAGTGAACCTTAAACAGTACTCCTATGAAAGCCTGCAACTTAATGTCCCTAAGTCAGGGACTAAGCATGTGTTAGGGTTTATGTCTAGGTGTCCCTCCAAACCCTCCTGCAGTCACGGGCTGGCTTCTGCAGTTTATGATTAATGGGCACTACTCCAGCCCTGGAGCAGAGAGGCTGAATGCAATGTAAGGGAGGGGAGAGGCTTGCCTCTGCTTGCTGCCGCTGCCTCCACTGCCCTCCCCTTTCTGCTCTTGCTGTTTTCCACAGCCATGATCGGCTGCCCGCTGCCGTGCCACTGTGCCTTGGAGCCAGCCAAATGTGGACTGAACCCTTCAAACTGTGAGCTGAATAAACCTTTCTTTCATTAATTTTGGGGGTCGGGTATTTTGTCCCAACAAGAGAAAAGTAACTGAGACACCATGCTATTTTCCAATAAGGTTTGCTCTGCTCTTCAAATTAAAATTTTAAACCTATCCAGCCTTCAGTTTGGATTTCCTTTCCCATCCTGACTCCTTTAACTTGGCATTTATCGCCACACATATGTGAACACAGCAACCTGTTTACTGCTTGCCTACCTAAATGTAAGCTTCAATGGGTAGCTATTTTTAGTTTAGTGGTTTTTTTGGTTTTTTTTTTTTTTTTTTTAATCTCTAGGCCCTAGAATAATACTTAATATATAAGGTAATCAATACAGCCTGGAACATGGCTCAGTGGTAGAGTTCTTGCCTTACATGCACAAGGACCTGGGTCCAATTTTCCTCTACCACCACACAAAATAAGGAGATCAACAAACGTTTGCTGAACAGTCAAGACTCAGTGTTTAAAAACAATTTTTCCACGTCTTTTTAAAGTAGTCATCAAAACAGCACAGAGGATGTTATCAAATAAATAGAGGGGAAAACTTAGAAAACTAATTTTTCTTTGAGCTTTCGCTTTAATAATTACCTTTTGGGGGGCCAGGGAGATGGCTCAGTGGAATAAGCGCTTCTCTGGCAAGTGCAAGGGCCTGAGTTCAATCCCCCGTTCCGAGGGGAAAAAAAAAAATTACCTTCTTCATTTCCTTGTATATAGTACTGGGAAATGAAACTTAGGGCCCTGCACACGCTAGGCAAACACTACTACTGAACTAGTAATAGACTGCGGGGTCAGTCACAGGGCCTTTGGGCCCAAATTTAACTCCTTATATTAAGCAGAATTTTAAAAAACACACAAGTATATCAAACATGCCTTCATCAGATGGGTAAGATAGTCTTGTCACCCAAATTAAGCTATTAAGTTGCTGAGTTACTTTTGTAAGTTTAAAGATATTTTAAGTTTTATTCATTAAAAGAAGAGTTGTTTTAAAATCTACTAGTACTGCAAGGCTGCAATATTATCTATAAATATTTTTAGATACGGCTTTGTATTTTCTTTTTTTTTTTTTTTTTTGTTTTTTCTAATAATGTTCTTCATACATACTTGACAGCAGTCCAGCCCACCACAACCATTCTTTGAGATATGCATGGCCTCCTTGACCTGTGAATGAAGACACATTTCACGTCTTTGAAACATTATGAGGTTCATGTAAGTTATGATCACTACAAGCAAAAAAAATCTTAAATTTTCCATTTGTTGACTTACAAAGATTTTTATATGACTATAAAATGGATTTCCCTTTCCCTTCTCCTTCCCTCCCCCTTCCCTTCCCTTCCTTTCTGAGACAAGGTTTCACTATGCAGTTTAAACTGGCCTTGAATTCATTTTGTAGCCCAGGCTGTGTTCTCAAACTCACAATGACCCTCACTCTCCTGAGTGCTGGGATCACTGGCATGTGTCACCACGCTGGCTTATAATGGGATTTCTTAGATATTTTTATGATTATCTTAGAAAAGGGATATGAGGACCGTAAGTGTGAACAATGTACTACATTCTTTAGTAAATTATATTAAACCATATTTTCTTCCCTTATTTTATAAACTCAATTTCAATAAACAAAATGAACCAATAAAAGGTAGCCCAAGTTCTCTGGGAGCCTGACACAGGAAGATCAACAGTTTGAGCCCAGCCTGGGCTAGGCAGTGACTTAGCAAGACTGTGTCTCAAAATACAAAAAGGGCTAGAGCTGTAGCTCAGTGTGAAGGTCCTGGGTTCAAGACCCTGTCTGGTAAAAACTAGAACACAATTAAAACAGAAGTAGCAGCACAGCTTCCAAGGCACTACTCTGCCAAGAGGTAAGCCACTGGATGTGCACAGCCCCTTTATGAAGAGACTGTGGCCCTATGAGGGTCGAGGGATACTCTGTAACCTCACAGTCAGCAAGCAGGCTGTTTATGAGGCTAAGACCAGAGGGAAAACACCAAGTGAATGAGTCTTTTCCAAGCTCATGCTGTAAAGACAAGAAGGAATGACCCAAGGCCAAGAGCGAGGGACAGGCAAATAAACAGGTGCTGATACTTTCTCCTCTGACCACTGAGCCCCAATAGTGTCTGCTGTCTTGTAATTTAACGCTGCTGAATCAGGTTTGGCCACAGAGACAGCACAGGAGAGACAAAGTAATCATGTTTATCACCAAAGTAGGTCTACTTATGCGGTCCCACCAGCCTGGGACAAAGCAGAGGCAAAACGTGGCCATTATCCTGTAAAACTGAGAGCTGTCACAGATGCTCCTGAAATAACAGAGCGTATCCCCAAGAGATTGTGAATCAGGCTTACACCCACAAGGTCAACAACCTGGGTATTTTTCAAGTTAGGGAGGCCCTCTCCTTCCTGCCAATTGAGATCATGAGGAAAAACATCTAACGTAAATGCCAGAAGTTCCATTCAGGGACCCTCTGTGCACAGAAGAAAACTGAAAGAAACATCTGGATGCTAATTTGGCTTTAGTACCCGCCCCCACTTTGACATTAACTTCAGCAGCAGGCAGTTAATCCTGACACCTTTTTAAACTTCCTCATTATAAACATTTGTAACTCTTGAACAGTGTAAAGGTGCTAATATGCTCACAGGAAGGAAAGCAGGCTTCCTTAGTCAAGGACCCAAGAACGGAAATGCACACTCATGTTCTTTCAAATTACAGAGGGCAAACCTACCTGCTCTCATGGAGCCTTTCCGGGCGAGTCGCAGAAGGCCTTTCTTCTTCAAGATGAAACTCCCTCCAATGAAAATGCTGGAGGTCATAGCCAATCCTAAACCAATGTAAAAGTCATATTTTCCACGCCCTGGGCTCATTTCGTTTGTTACATAAGAAGTTCCTGGGAATCTCACGGATGATCACAGAACATAGAAACTGCGGGTAACTGTAGACAGGTTGATGTCGTCTTCAAACCTAAACAACACAAAATGAAATGACATTTTTATAGAATGATCATCACAGCTTAGATACAATTCAAATTTTTACTTCACTTCTATTTTCAAAAGGAAAAACATTAGCACTTCTGACACTAATTTTTTTTTTTTTTTTTTTTTTTTTTGGAAACAAGGTCTTACTACTGAAGTCAGGCCAATCTTGAACTCACTATGCAGCCCAGGCTATAACAGAACTCACGGCCATCCTCCTGCCACCGCCTCCCCAAGTGCTAAGCCTAGAGGCATATGCCATGACATCCAGCTTTCATTTATTATTTAGACTTAGAACCAATCTAATTATGTAGCAAACAACTGGTTTGTGCTGGCCAGACAAGATGGTACACTCTTGTAATCCCAGCACTTGGGAGGCTAAGGCAGGTGGATCATGACATCAGCCTGGGCTACAAAGTGAGTTCAAGGCCAGCCTGAGCTGCACAGTGAGACCCCGTCTCAAAAACACACACAGAAAGTTTCTACTGGCCAGGCTGCCACCTGTTGGCCAGGATGGCACTTGGTTCTTATCACACCACCTCCCTGCTGCTGGTCTGTGCACTCTGGGGCAGGTGATACCGGTGACCTGAGGCACAAGAACTCAGCGAGTAGGAGGGTATGAGCCCAAAGCCAGAGGGAGGACTGTAGGAGGCGGCAGCTCCAAGGATGGTCAGGAGGACTGGAGATCCTGCCAGCAGAGACCCTTGGCCTCCCCATGGACAGATGGACAGCTGACTGAAGGTGGTCTCCCACCCAGTGCTGGGAGGTGCAGGCTGGACACACCCACACTGGGAACTATTAGAGTAGAGAATTACCTTAGTAACGAAGAATGATTCTATAAACCTCATCCGTATGCCTTAGTTGTATTGTAAAGAAATGCAGGGAGACTACAATGAAGCAGAATTTAGACAGGAAGGTAATTTTTGGGTTTTTTCAAAATTTAGTACTTGAGATATACAGAAAAAAGACATAAAAGCAGCTCCTTGATATTGAAGATTGGCACCTAGTATGGCGAAACTATGTTTTCAAATTTCTCTTCCTGATAAATACGGTAATTTGACAACTGTGTTACGTCCTATTGTCTCTAACCCAATTTATGACAACTGTGCGCACACACTGCAGCCTTAGGCACTTGTGGTGTAAACAAGTGTCATGGGAGGAAATTCAATGGTTTTACTTTGCAACCAAGTTCAGAAAGACGGCAGAAGCTCACTTGGAGTTGAGCGGGGAAAGCAAAAGGTGCCTTTCCCAGGGTGCGTGGTGTCTGTTCCCAGCAGCCAAGTGGCTACCACTTTCAAGACCTCTCCATATTACAAGGCTGTGCCTGAACCTCTAGTGGTGAACACAGCCGGAGGCCCCTGACCATGAAGTCAGTCTGTGAATTTTCAGGTGTCTGAGAGATGAAAAAGACACCTATGGCAATAAATCATGGAACAAAGAGCAACTCTAGTTCTCCAGAAACCGGGGCAAGACTGTGTTAATTTTCCAGAGACCAAGACCTGACCCTCCCAGCTCAAAAGGAAAAGGACGACTCAGGAAAAAAGAACTACCCTTGGTTCTTTGTGGTGCAGTTACTCCGGTCACCTTCAGGCCTGCAAGGATGGAGTCAGGTAGAGCCCCACCGACCCTCACTGGTGCTAACCTCCCATGACCGTCACATCACACTGCAGCCATGTCCTGGATGGTGCCTCAGCCTTCTTCACACTGTCCTCACCCCACCCAGGCCCAGCCCACTCTCAGTACAAATCTGAATCGCTTTTCAAAAGTGACACTTTCCTCCACTTCACAAAGCATCTCACCATTCCCTACCTGTTAGAAGTGATTTAATCACTTCAAATGCTTGCATTTCTAACAATACTGAGGACCCAGGAAGAATGGAAACCTCGGGGCCGGGGAGATGGCTCAGTGGAATAAGCACTTGCCTGGCAAGTGCAAGGGCCTGAGTGTAATCCCTGGTTCCACCAAAAAAAAAAGAAGAATAGAAACCTCCTCCTCCCTTGCGCCAGCTGACTTAAGTCACCATGCTGCTTAACGACAGTCCACAGTGACAGGTGGGGAGACGGGTAACCCCAGACTCCTATAAATCCTGAAAACCCTCCTGCAATTCAGGGTGAGATCCCAGAGACTCAAGACAACTCCAGTGTATCAACAGGTACCAGTTCGAATAACAGAGAGTTTGCTTTACAGGCAGACGCGCTTGAGCAATCTAGCTAGTCGTGTAGGTAACAGCCAATAAAAGAGCCTAGATGTCAAATTGTTCCAATCCAAATGACCACGGTTTCCAAACTAGTATTCAAATATTGGTAATATGGGCCAGCCAAATAGCTCAGTGAATTAAAGCACCTGCCAGCCCAGACCACGGGGTATGCTGAGACCCAATTGAGACTAGGCGTGGTGGCACACGCCTGTAATCCCAGCTCTACGGATCACTATGAGTCAGAAATAGTAGTGAGACCCTGAACACCCTGTGGGCCCTTCCCTAAAATACAAAGATAAAGACATTTTTAAAAATATTGGTAATACACAGAATGAGCAACTGTGAAAATAATTTGCATAGGATTTTTTTTTTCCTCCAAATGCCTTCAGGGCAGGTTTGGCTGGCTTGAGTTCTGGGGATCGAACCACAGCATCCTGAGCCCGACTGCTTGGTTGAAACAGGCACTTAAAGAGCTGAGCTAAGGGGCAGGCCCCCAAAAGTCTCTTTTTTTGGCGGAACTGGGGGTTGAACTCTGGCCCTTGCGCTGGCCAGGGAAACACTTATTTCACTAAGCCATCTCCCCGGCTTGCATAGGATTTTTTAAAACATTGGGCTGGGGCTGGTAAGATGGCTCAGTGGTCTAAAGCACCTACCTAAACAAGCTTAGCAAAACACAGGGACCTCGGTTCAATCCCCCAGCACCACATGCCAGCCAGCCCCGCCCCCTGGTGGGCTGAGCTGGCCACACACACACACACACACACACACACAAATAAAAAAATAAAAAATAAATAAAATTTAAACCACTGGGCTGGAGATAGAGCTCAGCGGCATAGGACCTGCCTGGCAAGTGAGAGGTCCCGAGTTTGATTCCTGGTACCATGAATGAATGAATGAATGAATGAACGAACGAACTAATAAATTTTAGAAAATAACTTGTAGGAATTAAATCTTTTTAAATGTTCATTTTGGTAGTACCTATACTGATGCTGCATTCCATATTTTCCAACTGAAGGTATAAAGCTGTTTTTGTTTTGAAACGTCTTTTCCACAGAAGAACAACTTTAGACATGCACTGAATCCAAGCCTTGGATATACACAGAAAGCAATTTTTTAAAAATGTATTTGGTTGTTGCAAGGTCTCACTATGCAACTCAAATTCCTGGTGATCCAACTGCTTTCAGTCTCCCCAGCTCTGGGATTACAGACATGCGCAGTCACGATGCCTGGCTCTGCCCGCCCTGGGAGCGGGGCTGGCTTAGCATTGGTGCTGATGTTTGCCTAAACTTGCCTAAGCAGGTGCTTCAGTCTGCTAAGCTATCTCGCTGGCCCGAAAGCAAATTTTGGAAGTTGTTATAAAAGAAAATTTAAGGATCAGGGATGTAGCTCGGTGGCACAGCAACTGCCTGGCAGGCAAACATGAGGTCCTGAGTTAAGATTCCCAGGACAAGAAAAAAGTCAACTTCAGCTAAATGTAGCATACACACATTTAACCCCTGCACTGCCTAGAATGAGGAACAAGAGGATCCAGAGTCCAAGGCTAGCCTGGGCTCACATGTGAAGCCCTGTCTCAAAAGACAAAACAAGAGTAAGAAAAATGGTTTTTCCTTGTCTCTTCTTTTGAAAGACCTGATCTGAGGACTGTGTGTGTGAGAATTCTGCCTTCAGAGTTCTACTGCACTTCCCCAGGAAAAGCTCAGGGAGACAATAAACAAAGGAGAGGCTGTTCTAATTTTATTGTAACATACTGTTGTATCAGTTAATGAATTAACTGATACTTGCTTTCAAGCAAATTTAAAGGAAAACTTGTAATGGCTGTGTGTGTGCTTTTTTGGGTTTTTTTTTTTAGGCCTGTGTAACCAACCCTAAGGGGTTTTCTGAGGCTTCTTGGAATTTCTTAGACTTACATGTAAACAAAACCTTTAAAATATTGTGGAAAAAAAAAA